ATAAACACAGCAACTATAAAGCCTCCTTGATAAAAAGAAACGAGAGGAACCTTCAGAAACATTTCAAAGGGTGCATCAAACACGGCTTCCACTTCTGCAGGATTTGGCGTTGGATTGAATGCTTTTCTGTCCCATAATATTCCTACCACAGGAATTACTCTAAGCAAATGCTGCATTGGGAAATGAAGCAAAACACTTTGTAAAAGCTAAAGACAGCTTGGTATATGGCAGAGAGCATAAACCAACAATAAAAGGGACATTACGGGTTCAGCTACTACTGAACATTATTAAAGATTTTAAAGATAGAGAGTCACTGCAGTTACCATTACTCTGCTACTAGGGCACAAGAACATTGTAATAGAACTACGAACAAAGGTTTAAAACCAGTGTATGGAAACCACAATGGCCTAAAGAGAACCAGTGGTAACTAAGATATTGCCTCGACACTTCAACACGCAAATCCCGCCTAACAGTCAAATATTCAAATGTAACTCTGTGTACACAGCTACAGATATTGATATGAACATGCATTCCTCTTAAAATGAGACAGAGTAAGCACTATTTGATACCTGAGACAGAAATGGTTCGAGGAAAGCAACAACATCAACAAGCAAAGGGTCTAATCCAATCTCTTCCTCTGCCTCTCTTGTTGCAGTAATCCCATCATCCTTATCATGGTCTTCTGCTTTACCACCTGGCAAAGAAACTTCTCCTGCAACAACAAAAAAAGACATCCATCATCCATACTATCACTTCTCCTGTACTCGGTGACCATTAAGCATTTCTTGCTTAAATGGCTTCAAAGACGAGAATTTTCAATGTTCTAATTTATGATTGATTTCTATGAGACTCAGCAAACCAAAGTTTCGAAAAGAAAAGTACAAACCCGAGTGAGTAGACAATGTGGAAGACCTCTTAGTGAGGATCACACGCAAATCACCATTGTCTCCTTCGAAAAGACATATCAAGACAGCAGCTTTCTTCGGTCAGAACCTCATCGGAGCCATAGATTCCTGAAACCCAACGTGGGAGATCGATTCCGTGGTGCTTTCCTTGTATCCACGCATCTCTTCCGCCTCGTCGAACAGTGAATAAAGCGGCGGCTTGTATACACGCAGCTGCTGCGCCAGGGCTAAGAGTCTGGAAGATCCAAATTTGAAGCCTTTGGCCGTTGGCGACGCGGCTGATGCTCCCGACTTCATGGAATTGCAGAGTTGTTTGGAACCCAATGGAACTTTTGGCAATTTTAAACATTGAAGCTTTTTGCCCTAAATTAGATCGATCAAAAGGATCTTCATTGCAATGCCGTGGTTATGAGTTGCAATCTCGTAATATCAGAAAACATGCTCTATTTTGTGACACCAATCGGCAAGCGGATTGGAAAGTGGTTTAAAAGTCGAAACTTGAGTTGCATAACCAAATTTTGTGACACCAAATTTTAAATTGATCATAGGCATGTCAATCGGATCAATCCACTCATGGTCGAAGACCGCAATTCCATGTATACATTTTTTAGTTTGGCATGGTCTGAACAGAACCGCTCGAATCTTTTGGGGGACTTTTTCATAAAACAATATAAATATGCTTGGGGTTACTATGAGAGACAAACAGTAGGATGTATTAACCAAACAGAAAAATCACCAAGGCCGTTGCCTACATAACAAATACATGTATTTACATCACACCAGAGACAGAACATAGACCAAATAAATATACCCCTCAATCTTCAAGTGTACTTGTATACTCTTTAGACGCAGAACAAAGTTAACTTCACTTCAAGCGCCCGGAAATGACAATCTCCGCGGTTTCACTGTGTTTCTAGCTCCAGGAAATGGAGCTTTGGCTCGAACTGATAATAATGACACTGTTCTCTTCGCCGGTGAATTTGAGTTGCTATAAACTGTCTTTGAGCTCTTTGGTTTCTTAGGAGTCACTGAGTATCTTACTTCCCAAGGCCGAGCAGAAATCCAACGCTCTTTCCAGCTCCAACCCCAGTTAGTGTTTCCCAACTCATAACTTCCCAGCCACTGAGTCTTACCATCGGCTTTCCACTGTTTAAGGCCATGGATTAAAACTTCTCTTCTCATATCAAAAGCAGCAAACAAGAAAGAAGTGTTTTTTTTTTTATATACCTGATGAGAGAAAGCATATGCCAAGGCTCTTTCTCGCTTAATCGTAGCTTCTTCCCTTTGAAGTATCCTCTCCAAGATTTCATCTTTTGTCTCTGACCCACCATTCCACTCAACCTGCAATTGTATCACTTTTATGTTCTTTTGTCTAAGGATGATCCAACTCAGCATGAGCTTTAAACAGCTCAAGTAACAGTTTTAGAGAGTAAAAACATGTTTCACTCTTTCACAAAATCTTACCTCAACATCATGAAGCTTTGCTTCAAGCTTTTGCTGATGCTCTAATCTCTTATTCTTCAGTCGCCATTCGGTTACCATACAAACTCGGCGAGCCTTTATCTCCGACTGTATTTTACTCCATGAGTGAAGATACCTCAATGTGACCACCGCTTGGTTCTTCACAGAATGTTTCTCAGTTGACAACTTTGCTCTTGCAATTCCTTTTAGACGCCGTAAGCTTTTTCTAGCCTGTCCACAACACAAGATCCCTTTAAACTTCCAAATGTAAATATAAAATCATGCAAATAAATTTGGAAAACAACAACTAAATGAACCTTATAGGCTTTAAAAGCAGTCTGAATCCGTGTCGCAGCCCAATCCTCACTTCGAGTAACTAGTGATGAAGAATGAGTACCTTTCTTCTTGGAACCTTTTGGTTTCACAGCACTAGTTTTTTTCTGTCACAGAGAAGACTTTCATAAAACACAATTCAGCATTTGTTTTATGCCAATGTAAGGTAACACATACCTTCTCGCTCTTGAAGGTTCCTTGTTTACTCTTCTTCAATCTAATTATTGCCTTAATCAAATTCCCAGAACCCATCTCAGAGTCTACCAATTGTCACCAAAATTGCTTGTATGTATGCAAATGCTGCTCTAACCCTGAGATTTGAAAGCCAAAATACTCTTGTTAAAAGAAACAACTAATGGTTAAGGATCAACTACTCCACATAAGCTCTTTTGTTTAATATACAAAAAATGAATTTGATTACAACTATTGGATCAACGACTCACACACAAGACACAACCAAAATCAACAAAATCAAGTACCCAATAGAAAAGTATATAGTATCAATTAGAGAGCAAACCACAAATACTTTAGTGGAAAAAAAACCAATGCTATGGAAATCGAAAAAGTTTCAAACTTTACTAAAAAGGAGCAAGAAGAGACATTAAACTTGTCTATTCTCCAGATCCAATCTACAACCATTGGAACCAGCGGAAAAAAGTTGCAAGTTTTTCAACTAAGGAACTAAAAGAATCTTTAGTAAAGATAGATACAAAAACCTGAGGTCAGGACCAAAGGTTCTTGAAAGAAGCTCGTCAAAGAACTGAAAAAGTGGTTTTGGCCGCGAAGAAGACTGAAGCAGAGAGACAGAAAAACAGAACAGGAGATTTGGTGACTGAATCAGAATGATTAAAGGGTTTGTGCTCTGTGCCTCTGTAGTAGTAAGGAAGAAGTAATAAAGACTTTAAAAGAGACATCATTACAGCGTCGTGACTCGTGGAGAGACTGGAAATATTAGGCTGTAATCGCATTTTTTAATTTTATTTTGTAATAATAATAATCAGTACTTGTTATATCAAAATGTTACACCAACAGTTTAATGTTAACAAATGTTTTAAGATTCGACTCTTTTTTTTATCACGTTGTCTATCGTCTTTTTGAAGATACGCAGAGTGTGTAATTATTACGGACTATTTTTACTTTTCTTATAAGATGTCATAATTATATAACACCCATCTGAATTTTCGTGACTCGTATATACTTCTCTATATTTAGAAGTTGAAAAGTAGTTTGAAGTTTGAACAAACAAAAAAATAAGTTGAAAAGTAGTGAACAATTAATTACAAGATTGAAAACTTAAACCACTCTTGTTTATGATAATTTTCCTATAAATGATCTAATACAGTATCATTAAATATGAACTATGACCGCTTAACCATCTGAGTATGTTTAAAGTTTTGATTTGAAGCCATCACCGATTGCTAATGTGTTTAATTGTTTTGATGACCGTCTGTGGATTACTAATTGAGATTGAATATGTTAACTAAACTATATAAACTTGTTAAAAATATTACCAATAAAAAATGTTAAGTCGATGCCTTTTGTTTCGTCTTCAAGGCTTATGACCCGTTAGTTTTTATGCTTTGTTCGTTTTAATTAAGTTTCTAAGGATGTATTTTTTTCTGTTGGATTTGTGTATCAAAATCGTATCTCATCCATGTATTTCTCAATCGTATAATATAATTGAAAATTTTATATGAAAAAAAAATCACTATCTTTTACTGTTCAACTATCTTTTAATTTTTCAAATTATACCATTTTTTAAACCACAAATACTCCTATCATTATCGAAGATTCCAACAAAATTAAAAGTGGATAAAAATATTGTTGCAAGCAAAGTGTTGTCCGAGCGGATATTTCAAAATTTCAATTGTTCTAACTGATTACATTGAATTAATAGTCAAAAACACCAAATTAAATTTCAGATGTTTATATTGAATTATGTCATTGTCACGGTTTAAATTCGAGTGGTAACCTAGCGGTAAAGTGAAACAACAATATGTATGGTTGTTTATGTAGTAGCTATATAACTATTATTTAAAATTATATAAAAAAAAAAACAGAACACAAATCCAAATGAAATTATTATCATTATATCATAAATAATGAAGTACTTGAATTCAAAAGATTTTTGGATTTTTCGTAAGAAATATTTATTTCGATTTGAGTTAGTTGACGTATTTGGATATTAGTGAATATAGTATTTGTTATCAAATGGATTCTCGAAGTGGTTGGTCTATAATGATGAGCCAAAAAAGCAATGGTTATCAGAATCATTTGACTTCGGCCGAGGGCTTGAGGGGTCCGAAGTTTCCAAAATCGATATTGCACCTACCATATACACTCATATTTGATCCATCTACCACAGACAAGAAACAAAATTAATGAATCTTTTAAGAGGAGATTATTAAATGTCCCAATAATTAAGATAAATTTATGTGGATTCAGCAGCTTGAGCCACCACAACTCTGGTTTGTACCTAATTCTAATGAATGAAAATTATGAAATAATCAGAGAGTAAATGGGAAGATCTCGAAAGCTGGTTGACAATAGGAAACATGGTTTGAGACTTTGAGTTTAGGTCATTGTAGACATAATTAATGAGTAGTATATTTAAAAGAAATATAGTGATATATTAAAAATCAGTTTTAATCACTGTAAAAATATCAAAACAGTAGTGTTTGTGAAAGGAAATAATAGTATATATTGTTATTTAGCTTTTAGCAAATTTGATCCTTGATCCTTACAGTCTATGTAATTTAGTCTAAGCAACATTTATTGACATGTATAACTTCGTTTAAGTGAATCATATAGCGTTAGATACTTGTTTTGGTCCGACTTCAACTCAATGTGTTAGAGTATCTTCAGGCTAGCATGAATACCATGCTATTAACCAAGTATGATAAACTTTTTCTAACGAGTGGTTTGATAGCCTCAAAATATGTCTATCTATTTTAAGTATTTAACAATAGCTGACTATGTGATCATGCCTTTTACCAAGTCACACATCTTTCTTTATCTTCGTAGGTTTTTTTTTTTTTTTTTTTTTTTTTTTTTTTTTGGTCTTTTTTTGGTCTTATTTTTGTTCACATTTGGGCCATAACTAGCCGGTCCATTAGCCTAATTTCTACAATTAAATTATAGAGTCGGGGACTCGATCCCTGGTGTGATGGTGTCTGTCTTCTGTGGACTTATCATTTGCCACTAGACCAAGATCACTTCACATCTTCGTAGGTTTTGGAGTACTTTAGCGTTGTTTTAACGGATTTTTCTTGATTTTTTTGATAACCAATATTTGGTAATTACCACTGCGATTTCGTTTCTTTTCCGTCATATCGCTTAAGATTTTAGTCGACTACATATACAAAACAAAGATACACATATACTAGTATTTTTGTAACACTTTGGTGACAGGTGGGTAAAAATGCTTCCGGGTATATCGGATACCCGATCCGTTTTTAAAATTCCTTCACAAAAAAATTGTTGGGTTGGGTTATATTTAACCCAACTCATACACCAGATATTCCATATTTAATAATTTAGATATTTAGAAGATTTGATTAAGATTTATAATTATGATTCTCCCATCATCTTTGTTTGATTTGTTTTTAACTGTTTTGAATCATCATATAATACATAAAATAAATAAAAAATCAATATTTTTTTTCTGCATATACTGTGATTCGAAATTTTAAAAACAGACATATATTATCCAATTGACGAAAATGTGTGTTCAACGTTCAACGTCGATTAAAATATTTAGACAATGATTCAGAATCATATCATAAATAAGAACATTAATAAAATAAATGAGTGTTTTGGCCAGACGGGTTTGGCGGGACGGGTTTTTGAATCAACAATAATAAAAAGATTAAAATATCATTAATCCGCCGCTTCAATACGGATTAAATCTTTTTTTTTTAATACCACAAATATTAGACATATTAAATCAGTCTCATTTAGAAAAGATTTTATAAAACCAAAAACTGTCCCGTGGTATAATGTCTCGTGGTATAATGTCCCGTGGTCTTAGAGGGTGATATGATTTGTAAACTTTTATATATAATAACTAATCAAAAAAATCACGGGACAGGTTAAGAAATTACGGAACGGGTTATATTTCGGAAAAAATTTATATGACAGACAAATTTGAATCAATATTTATATACCGCTTTAATACGGTTTAAATCTTCAGTTTATTAATAATTGTCTCGTAGACTCGTAGTATACTGTTACTTAATAACAATTGTAAACTATAATATAAATAAATATGTTATAAGGGGATACAATTTATAAAATATTTTTATACTAACTTTAAAATTAAATCATCCCGCGGTTAAAATCTAGTACTATAACGAAAAACTTACAAATTTCCCTCTCCAATTTCTTTAGCTAGAATTTAAATAATAACCAATTCAAAATATAAACAAAAACACAATAAACTTATCACTTTCTCTCTATAATGTTAAAGTTGGGAGATTTTAAAGTATACATTAAATGATCAGCTAAGTTGATGATCGTCGATTTTTTTGGGATCGTTGATGTTTTTTTTTTTTGAAATTGATTATAATTATCTAATTGAAAATAAAATTGTGGTTTTCGTTTTGTCGTATATTAAATCGTTGTTTTGAAGAAAAAAATTAGTGTTTTCCTGTGATAATTGTTTAGAATTTTTAATCTAATGTTTAAACACTAAATCATATATCTTTCTAATTTATGTGGCAAGCATGCCCAGTCCAATAAGGTGGGACAAAATGCGGCCCAAGATTTATATCCATTAAATGTTTTACAGAAGAAAAAATCCAATATTTTAGAAAAAAAACTAATGGACCGAAAATGATTGATAAAGAGTCTATAATATATCAAAAAAGCTGAAATTTGTTTCTTTTTCTTTTTCGTCGAAATTTGTTTCTAAATGGCTTTTTTTACACAAAAAAGCATTCCATGTTTTCAAAAAATATTCCATATTTTCAAAAAAAAAAAAAAAAAGTGATCAAAATTTACTTGTTAAAGATTCTAAAAATGCCTAAAACTTTTTCAGATAATAAAATGTCCAAAAATTGTCTTAAGGCTCTAATTTATGTTGGGCTGGGGAGCTGGTGGCAAGTATAGTAAATAGATATATGTGACCAAAGATAATTCATTAAGTCAAAAAGTGTTGTTTTAGACTTTAGATGGTTATATATAAATTATTTGATACCTCTTATATTTTTATCATCAACTTTTAAAAATATGAAAAGAAACTCCATAAAAACAAAACGCAAAGACATTTGACAGAATGGAAATCCAAGAGCTTTACAACTGTTAATTTGACTTTATTACTCTAATTTCATGCTTTTTTGATTATTCACAAATTATAACCATATTTAAAATCAAAGTAGAACAACAAATTAACCTAAACAAACCAGTATAAATATAGGATCCTCCAATATTTTGCAACTATGGGTATGATTGGTAACCAAAAACTGTACAAGTTTTTTAGCTGTTAGTTGGAGCTGTAAGTTTTACCGGAATAGTGTAAAGCTGTAAAAAAAAACTGTACAAAATGCTGAGAGTAAAACTATTAGTAACGCTTTTGATAAAGTTTTTCTGATTAGTAACTGTCAAAATTATATACGCGGTTTCGCTTTGATAATGGATTACCATTCAAAGGCTATATTATTGACTTTGCTTAATCTTTATGTCTTTTCAGACATGCAGACAGTTAAACCAATCGACCATGACCCCGTTCGTATCCTTATCCATTTAGCAGAACCCCACAAGCAGCAAACTAAATTAATAAACTAATCCCATTTGTGGTGACCGATTCAAAATCAACCTATTCTTTAATTCAACTGATAATACGATAATGTTAGTTCATTAGCGGTGATCGTATTTCAACTCTTAATCCAAATTTATTCAAAGGGAATGTCAACTCTCAATGATCTATATATAAAAACGGTAAAGATAAATGTTCTTAGATTTTCTTTGTTAACTTTTGAGAACCATTTTTGTGTGTGTATTTTAGATCAAAGAGATGGGTTTCAATGATCCTTCATTAAACTCAATCATCCTTTGGTTCGCCTCCGTAACGTCTCTGGTGACTATCTCAGTCATCTTCGCCCTTCTCATTATTTGTTTACTCAAACGCCGTAGGTTTGATGTATCACCAGAAACCGAGAATGAGCACCGCGGAAGAAGAGAGCCACCGTGCCAAGGGCTTAGCGCTTCCGTGATTGCCGCCTTTCCCACTTTTTCTTACAAACCGGATAATAACGATCCCGAGAGCAACAATCAGGAGATCGAGTGTCCGGTTTGCTTAGGGTTAATCCCCAAGAATGTTGTAATTAAGGTTTTACCAAATTGTATGCACATGTTTGATGAGGAATGTATCGGTAAGTGGCTTGAATCACACGCAACTTGTCCTGTGTGTCGTAGACTTGTTGAGCCGATGGCTAAGCAATGAGGATAAAGTCTTAGAAAGTTAGTATAGTTATTGTTTATATATATATATATATATATATATATATATGTCAATTTATAAGATTTTTTTCTTTTTGCTAATTGTAGTAATTTTTCTGATTGATGTGAAATGTATAAATGATATACAACTTAATATGAGCTTTGTCATATTACTTGAATTTCAGATGCTCGATCAAATGAGAAAGTCAACTTTTTATTTTTTATCGAGAAGTTTATGGTTCGGTGCACCGGTCCGTTTATAGTTCAACTTTCTTAGACGGAAGACTAGAACACATAAGTTGTCTTTGCAAACTTAGATATATCATATATATGGTAATTTTTGAGTCTTGACTTTTGAGTATCAATTAAGGTTGTTATTAATCAGTGATTTGGCTTTTTACTATGCTTTATTCACCATCATCTATATACAGAGCCGGCTTTAAGTTGTAGAAGGCCACAAGCTAAAGATAAAAAAAAGGCTGGTTTATATAGGGGAAAAATGTCGTTTAATTGCTGAACTTTAAAAAAATGGCCGTTTAATACGTAAACTTCTCATGTGGCCATTTTAAACACGAACTTAACGTTGACCGGCCATTTTAACTCAATTTCTTCGTTGACTACGCCAAAACGCCACACCGTTAGCAGTCACTAACTGAGCCGATAACGGCTGTTAGCACCCGTCAACAGGTCTCCGTTACTCCCGAAAACGACGTTGTTTTACTCTTAAACCAAACCCCAAATCGAAATCGATTTTATCCCCTTTCATAAACCTCAAATCCCTAAATTTCAATTCTTTGAGCTTTCAATCTCTCACTTCTTCGTTCCCAATTTCAATTTCTTTGAGCTTTCAATCTCAATCTTCATCGAATTCTCGAGAGTGAGCTCAAGAAATGAGTTGCAGTTCTGGGAATTCTTGTGTTAAAGACGGTGGATGTGGCTTCCGTGGGTTTCCTTCGAAGTGCCATTGCGGGTTAGACGTCGTCATCTATACATCGGCGACGAAACAGAACCCTGGAAGACCTTTCTTCCGTTGTCCAACCAAACAAGATGTAAGTAGATTTGATTTTATATCTTCTTGTGTTTCGAAAATTGTTCATAATTTGTTTGTAAATGCACGGGATCATTTGTTTAAATGGGTCGAAGATGGTGTATACGAGGAGGTTGTTGATGCTCTTCCAAAATTCTCCATCATTGACAGCCAAATAGAGAATGCCAAATCGGAAGTTGCTGTCGAGATTGAAGAGTTAAAGGTCATGATCAAAGAATTGAAGGAAGAAGGAATGTGAAGCAAAAGGGAAATAAAGAAATGGAAAACGATGATCAAAGTGTGTTTAGTGAGCCTTTGTGTTGCTGTCATTGTCTTTGTTATCCTACTGTTTGGTGTTGGAGACAAAAGACATAAGTTAGTTCTTGGTTACTAGGTGTGCATTAGTGTCTTATTTGATTTGTGCCTTCTCTTGTTTTAGTTTTGTGTTGTGTCTTGTTTGTGTCGTGTATATGAGTTTGTATCTTTTGCAATGAAATGGTATTTCTGAAAATGAGAAGTTAAGAGAGAACCATTGATAGAACCATTCATACATTACAACAATGATGTCATAGACACAAAAAGAAAGCCGAGTGGAAGATCATGTCATAAAGACAAGTTCAAACAACAAAAAAGAAAGCCGAGTGGAGATCATGTCATAAAGACAAGTTCAAACAACAATAAAGAAAGTCGAGACTAAGCTTATGTCAGCCAACAAAAATATACCCTTACTAAGCTTAAGTTCAAAAAAGAAAAAAAAAACTGAGACTAAGCTTAAGTGGAACACTCAAAACATGATGCCAATCCACCAAGTCCTTGTGCTTGTGCTTGGGGTTGTGCTGCTGCTTGTGCTTGTGAAGATCCATGTCTTCTATCATGTTGTTCTCTTTGTGATGCTCCACTTGATGCCATAGATCCTTGTGCTCCACGACCTGTTACCCTTTGTCCTTCTGATCCAAGATGAACATGTGATCTGTGTACTTGCTGATCTTGTGATCCTTGTAGAGGTTGTGATCCTTGATAAGATTGTGATCCTTGATAAGATTGTGATCCAAGCACATGTGGTTCCTAAGTCAAATGTATGAGATTAGAAGACATGATTTAAGTGAGCTGTCAAACACAAAAAAGCATAAGAGTCACTAACCTGATTTTTCCTGGGACGACCTCTTGGTCTCTTTGGTTGATTATTCAAGACAGTTGCATTTTTGCAACCCTACTTATTGTGTCCTTCTTGCAGGCAATTAGAGCATTCATCATCTACATAACAACACTTCGCAGCAACAACCATAGCTTCAGACCTAAAGAGCTTAATGTCATACCTTGTCTTTAAAGAGTACATCAAAAGTGCAAGCTTGAAGTCTTCGGGAGAGTTGTAAGTTTTCTCCAATTTTAGCAAAACCTCTGGATCATCAGCACCTCTACCAGCTTCCTCTTCTCTAACTCTGTCTTCATCTTCTCTAACTCTGGAATCTTGTCTTCGTCCCATATATCATCTCCACTATCCGAGTCACTACCAGCTTCATCTCCTCTAACAGCCTCTGGGAAATCTTCTGCAAAGTTGAAGTTAACATCTTCTTCAACAGCTGCTGCATCATCATCGCTATCTCCACCACCTGTTGCATCAACACCACCATTATCATCATTACTTTCACTACCTGCTACATCGAAGTCTCCGACAACCATCTTTGATTCGTTTCGAGCTTCAACTCCAGCATTATCATCATTACCTTCACTAACATCACCGCCTACTGCGTCATCAACAGCATCGCAGTCTTCATCACCATACACCGCACAATCATCTTCAATGCCAGGGACGGGGTCTGGTTCCTTTTCAGGATCTTCATCGTCCTTTAAGACCCTGACTTTTCTTCGTTTTCGACGCCTGCCTCGACCACGAGCTTTGTTTCCACCACCTGTCTCTGAAATGTCTTCCGCCGGTGGAGATTCAACTCCGTCTCCGACAACCATCTCCGATTCACCTCGAGCTTCAACTCCAGCACCCACAACAGTCTCTGCTTCGCCTCGTATAGGAGATCCAACACGCACTATGACGCCATTCTTCCTAACTAATACCATTAGAGAAGACAATTTGAAGATTTCGGATTTCTGGGATTAGGGTTCTTAATTTGGGGATTTTGAGAAATTAGGGATTTCAAAATCGATTTTGGGGATTTAGGAACTTTGCTTCTGGCTAAAACGACATCGTTTTCGGGACTAATGGAGACCTGTTAACGGGTGCGAACAGCCGTTATCGGCTTAGTTAGTGACTGTTAACGGTGTGGCGTTTTGGCGTAGTCAATGAAGACATTTAGTTAAAATGGCCGGTCAACGTTAAGTTCGTGTTTAAACTGGCCACATGAGAAGTTCACGTATTAAACGGCCATTTTTTAAAATTTCAGCAATTAAACGACATTTTTTCCGTTTATTTAGTTTCATAATTTTTTTGGTACACTTAATAATTTTAAGATAAACATGTTGTATTGAATATATTATTTTTTGATAAATATTTCCGTACTTTATTTATATCTCTGTATATATTTAGAATATTTTTTGTTTTGTTTAATTGTTTTATTGAAGGGTAAAAAAAATTAATAATGTAGCTGACAGTATTTGGAATCGAACTCGGGTTGTGGCATTATGTAACTACGCCACTGTACTATTAGAACTTTTGTTGTAAAAAGGCCGAAATTTAGTTATATTATTGTAGGCCGTAAGCTAGTGCTTCACTACCCTGTCCCAAGGGCCGGCTCTGTCTATATACTCTACGTGGAAAAGTGCGATGATGGTCACTTCCTTACTTTACGTACGACTACAAGAAAATACGTGGATTTTTACAGTACGTTATACTATTATATTATATACATATAATATATGTTAGGTACTGATTCGGCTACGGTTCTTTCAGTTATAAAATTTAGTATCTATTCGGTTATTTTCAAATTTTCGGTTCGGTTCAATCCAATTCTTTTTGCTTCGTTTTCGGTTCGGTACATTTGGTTTGGTTTATTTCCTCAGGTCTACTATTACATTCATATAGTCAAATCTTCAAAAGTCCATGCAGATAAATACTATTGTTGATCCTAAGTGGCTTATAAGACTACTCTCAGCTCGCGAGAAGTTTATCTCTTTAAAGTCAAGACAATAGCTCATACTCCTTTTGAATCAGAAGGTGTCAAAAAAATAATGAAGTCCTTCGTGATTTACGGTTTGAAGCTCGAGATCCAAACTTAAAGGACCAATGGGAAGACTTACGAGGCGGAGTATCCAAAACACGAAGTAGCAACTCACACATGTGTCAGGCTTGTAAACTTGTCTTGTAGTTTAGGTTCTTGTATAAAAGAGAGACTGAGAGAGATCGATGTGGGGGAATACACATGTCACTTGGAAATAAGGGAAAAGATAAAGTTTGTATTTGTTAGCGAGAATGAGCCAAAACTATAATCTTTCAGAAGATTTGGTAAAACCTCAAGAGTGTGGTTTTCTCTTTTAAGTTTTAAACTTGTTAAATCGCCTTCACATTCATTCTATTTTATGTTTTTTTTTTTAATCTTTATATCCTTTGTTGATTGATTTATGTGTTTTGTTGTTGTTCCTTTTTTTTTTTTTTTGGACAAAAGTGTTTTGTTCTTGTTCTTGATATCAAAATCTAAAAGCATTTTTTGGTTGCGCTTAAAGCTTGAGAATTTTAGAGTTAAAAATCTTTACAATTGAGAATGTATGGGCTAGCGTAGGTGTCATGTTCTATTGTACTAGTAAAGATTTGCGGTTAATTTAGACATTTTGTTTGGTCAAATTTGACATTGAAAATATACACTTATTTTCGAAACAGAAAAATTAACAATTTTTTTGTGGGGACGGAGTTGAGACAAGGAACCATTTATTCTTTTCTTGCTCTTGAAAATATAAATGTTAATTTTTTTCTAAAATTAAAATTGTTAATTTAATTTTATTTTAAATTAATATTATTTCCCTAAAAACCACAAGTTAAGAACATACCATTAAAGACACATAAAAACTAAAAACAAAAATACAATTTTTTAACTCTAAACTTTATAATTTTAATACTAAACTATTGTTAAAACTTAAAAATCAATCTTAAGAGCCTACTAATAATGTTACTCTATCATCCAGTCACAAAATCAATGTCAATAGTCGATGATATGATTATAGATTTCTGAAAATATTGAGCACGTGATTTAAGTTGGATAATGGCCTATGGGCCATTACAAGTAGGAGGTCAATTTATAAATAATTAATTTGATATTGATGACGCAAAGATATACATGATGCATCATTATATTGTATTGTTTACATATTCAAGAACAACTGTGGAAAAGTAAGATTTAACTCACAAAGATAAATTAAATTATGATTGTTTAAAAAAAAAAAATTATGATTGTTTTTGCTATATGTGACTGACACAGAGATTTTGTATGGGAACCATGTGCCAATATAATGATAATCTCAATTTTGAATAAACCCCAAAATATCTATATGAGATGTTGTTGCATATAGGTTGTTTTGAAAATTTGTTTTCCTAGTAAGGAAATACATAATTTTGTTAAAAGTTTATATAACATTCTAACAGAAATAAAGAGTAAAAGACAAGAAACTTATTGACTAATATTTCACAAGTGGGTTACATATTTTGGCTTTGGCCCGCTTTTGTTTATGGGACCATCCCATACAAGTTTCAATTTCCAAAATAATGAATATCCCCCAAATTTTCCGATTAATCATAACGTTTTCTGATTCTCGCCAGCTTCTTGAAATAGAAATTTATTTTCCCACTTATACAATTATCACAAAGGCCCCTACTCTTAATATAAATTAACAATTTTTCTAAAGAACCCTACTTTTTTTTTGTTCAACAAGGCCCCTATTTAGTTGAATTACACATTGCATGAGCTAATTGTACAATTTGCATTTTTATAAGTTAACGTAGATGATTCACTTTTCCTTATATGTTTCGTCGATTTTTAAATCTTTTGTTTCATTGATGTCACACCAGAAGAAAAAAATTTGATAAATATTCGTTTTACAAAAGTGTTTAATTGAGAAGAAATAAAAGAGACCAATGTACCAATCTTTAATAACTATGGGGGTTATCAAGTAATTATGGACTTTTCATGAAAGCGAAACTTATTAAATTTGATTATAAAAAAAAAAATTGTTGGTGGAGGAGAGAATCACAATATTTTTCCGAGAGAAAATCACGGAAACCGATGTAGATTCTCTATCTCCAGGTTGTTCACTTCATTCATATAAAGAAGAAAGAAAGAGAGAGAGAGATCTAAAGAAAGCTAAAAACATGGAGTTTTTTTTTTTTTTTTTTGAATTTTCTTTAAATTCCCACGACTTTTCTCACTACGCAAGAAGAGCCTATTTCTTCTCAGATCTTACCTTTCCTTCAATCTCTCCCACTTGAATCATCATTTTGTTTCTGAAAAACGAAAACAAAAAAAATTCTTTTTTCTGCACTTACTTGAGAACAATGTGTAGTAACAACAACACAAGTAGTGGAAGCTATGGAGACTTACAGTTACATGATGAGTACTCTGGTTCTTGTCGGAAGAAACAGAAGAAAGACAAAGTACGACGAAGAGGACCTGGTGTTGCTGAACTCGAGAAGATCCGTCTTCAAGACGAGTACAAATCTCCACTTTCTCCTTCATTACCAAACATAGATCACCATCATACTCTCTTTGCTCCGGCTAGTAGCGGCTATGATTTAGTGACGATTCCTCCAAACTTTTCTTTCCCGGAGAAACTTCCGTCGTTACCGGTTTTCCCGCTTTCGTACGGATCTTTGATTCCTCCGGCGTCGGTTTTTCAGAGGAACCAACATTCTCTAATGGTAAAAGAGAGAACATGATTATGATCAAACTCTCTTTGTAATTATGTCACAAGCTTTTAAAAACATTTTTTTGTTTTTTTTTTTTTAATGTTCATGATTATGCAGATGAATCTACCAAATCCATCTCCAGGAACAGGAAGATTTTATCAATTCATAGAGCCCCCTTCAAACCAAAGATCTTGCGTTGATTCTGTCTCTCAGTTTCTTGAGGAAGAAAATAAAAAGGCAGATATTATTTCCATGATTTTCTATTTTGAAAAACGTTACGTTTTCTAATGTTTTTGATTTGAATGTTTCTTTGATATCTTTCTATAGATGGTCACTGCGAAGAAGAGGCCATGGCATTTTCTCACAGACACCACGAAACCTAGCGTTGGACCAACCACAACTACAAGAATCATAAGGTTTGCTGTATTTCTTGGATTCGCTCATTTTCTTGATACAGCAAAAACCTAATCTTGAATGTGTATGTTTTAGGGATGCAATACAAAACCGGTCAATGGATGTAAGTCCGGTTCAAGAGACCGGTACAACAATTAGCAATCCCATCGCCATTGATTCACCTACGTCCATCCCACGTCATTACCCGAGGTTTATCCCGCTTGGCTTACAGGTAGAGATCATCCTATTATAATTTGTCTTAATTTTTGATGAAGTTGCTTAGACCGTTTCATTAAACCATCTTGGTTTTAGTATGAACAACAACCACAAAAATACTTGGATGAGAATATGCAATGGAGAAGTAAAAAGCCGTTCTATAGCTTCATACCCTCTGGTGATCCCAGCAATGATGACCGAGAACAACGGCCATGTGACCGATATGAATCAGCTGCTGCTGATCATGGAATTGATCTCAGCCTTAAGTTATAGAGATTTTAGAATCTGTCTTATCTAGCTTTGGATTTATCAATTAACTTTCCCGCAACTCTATTATTTTGTGATTCATCGACGAATCAGAAGATTTGCTTATAACTCTGAAAAGTCTTCCACTTGAGTTTCTAATGAAAACTACTATTATTTGCAAGTTCTGTTGATTTGCAAAACTGAAAAACAGAACAAAATGCTGCCACAAAAACAGAACAAAATAAAAATGAAACTAATTAATTGTTTCTTAAGAACTTGGCTTAGCTATCTGTCCAATATCATATGAAATTCTGATTTGAGCTCAAACCTCACAAGATCAGCAACAACATAAGAACCAGAAAGAGTTTAATCAAAAGAACATGGTCTTTTGAAATTGATTTATTCTCAGTCTGATCAGAGCTAAAAAGTGAAAGCTTTAGCTCTGACCTCGAAGATGAAAATGAATATAGATAAGGACAAGAGAGAAGATATACATAGCAAAGGCCATTACACAGATCCAGAACGGATAAGTCGATCTCACGTAAGCCGGTAAGCCAATTGCAATGCCAACTACCACAACAAGAAGAGATTCTATTGAGTATTCCCATTTCAATCCTCTCGAGTATACAATCGCCAATGTTATCGACATTCCCATCAGATTGTTCATTGTAACATCTCTGTAAATCTGCAGAAACCCACAATCAAAAGCTCTTAAAAATTGAGTTTCTTATCAATGTAATGTGGTAAAGAAAGTGTGGTAGAAAGTAAACTAACCTCAGAGAACATTTCAGATGCGATTCTTGCTTTGTCTTTCTTTCGACAGAAGTGTGCAGATAAAGTGTTCTTCAAGTTTCTTACCAAAGGGATCACTGCAAATACTGAGTAGAAAGAAGGAACTCCAGCTGAAACCGATAAGAGCCCGATGTTTACCATAAATGGTTTAGCAAGAAAGACGACGATTAGCATCCCACCGATAACTTTAGTCACAGCTCTTAAGGTTCTCATGGAGAGGAATTTAGCAACGAGAGTTTGCTTTGGCATTTCTAGCTTTAAAACTCCAGCTTCCTTGCCATTCGACAGGTTCTTAACATGCACAGAATCGGATGGTGTTCTGTAAATGTATGTGTTGTTATGTCTTGGAGATTCTTGGTTATCAAATTTGTACTGATTCAGTAGTTTCATTATCCCTTCTTCGAATTCGTTCTCGTCTAGTTCGCCATTTTTGTCTTTGTCGAACTCCGCAAGTAAAGTGCTTGCAAACTCATTGATGTCACATTTCATCCTTCCAAAAACTCCAAACTCTACTGTTAAGTCTTTAAGCTCCGAGATTTGAATCTTCCCATCTTTGTTCCTATCGATTTTATCGAACAAACTACAAAAATAGAGTAAATCTGCAATGTAAGAAAGCCGAAAACAGAGCAAAACGAACTAGTTCTTGATTAGGAAAAAACAGAACAGAACCTTTTCAAGCTTTCTTTACTTAGTTGTCCGTCTCTAATAAGGGTTCGAGGCGAAAAACTCTGCAAATGCTTATGAACTTCTGACATGAGCTCAAACTTGGCGTGATCTAAGCTCTTCTTTTGGTCTGCCGTATCAAAATACTGAGAGTTTCAACAAAAACAAAATTCATCGGTAAGAAAACAAAGCAAAAGAAGTTGTAAGCATCATCTAGCGCTACTTTGTGTTTAAGAGAGCGCATACCGAGTAAACAAAGTAGATAAAGGTTGAAGAACAAGAGATTATGAGTGTGATCAACATAATGATATCACTCCAAGATTGTGCATCCAATAAATCAGGCAATGTCACTAAGAGAAATGGAACTAGAGTCAAGAGCATAATCCCTGCAGCTTTCTTGTTCTTAGGATCTGCATCTACGCTTGCTTCTGCAGAGAGCGAGAAACCGCTAAATTAAACAGACTTCACACAAAAGAAAAAGAGAAGGAATCTGCAAGTCTTCTTAACATACCAACAACACTTTTTAGTATCTTCATCCTGTAAAATCCCCTTCTTGGATTCTTTGTATCCTGCATTATATACACTGAAATGAGAATTTGTTATCTTTTATACTAACAGAGTGGAACAAAAGAATCTTTTCTTACAGAGGCTGTTCTTTTGATGGATCCTCTTCGGATTGATGGATCTGAATTAGGACCGGTCAAACCAAAGACAACACAAGCTCCCCATTGCATTGTCAGAGCAAAAATTGTGTGTCCCATAGTAACTCCAACGTTGTTTCCCACAATCATTAGAGCACCCTCGTGGGTCGCTACTAGTCCAGGCGCTAAGGTCAAAAATCAAAAAGTACGTTTTTGTCAAACTCAAAATCAATTGGTAATAAATGAAATATTCCGTAATATACTGTACAAGTTCAATATCTTACATATCATAAGGGCAATTCTTGGGAACATTGTAAGGAGAGGGAAGATGATACCGCCATAGAACCCGACCTCGAATATTAGAAAGAGTTTTGATCTTCCTTCAGACAAGAAATAGTCACCAATGATCAAAAGACAGCCAAAGGAGAAAACTTGGAAGATATACCCTCCAATATTGTCTGCACATGGAAGGAACCCGTAGACATGAATGCAAGCTGCTTTTTTGACGTTCTCTGGAGGATCGAGAGTGAGATACTTGTAATCCAAGGCGCCATGGACACCATCAGAGATCAAGATCGAGTTATTCAGAGGTACGGGACTTAGGACACGAGAGCTCACAGCAGAGATGAACAGAGCTAAAGATAGAAAGAAAAAGAAGAGAGTTAATGGGAAATGTGAATGGTTGGGTCGCCTCTTAAACGAGAATGTTTGCATGTGAGCTGCTTTAGTGGAAGGTTTCTACTGAGGGTTTTGTTAAGTGATTGAGGTTGAAGAAAAGAGAAGAGAAGAGCGAGATTGATTTTAGAGATGGCAACTATTCTTACTAAAGTTTCCCTGCTTTATATAACTGAGATCTTCAAGCACCATGTTAATATATACTCCAGTTAGGTACTTACAAATTATTGTTTTTAGAAACATACATATACAATATTTGTAAAAAGTTAGACATTTCATACCCTTGTTTTATTATTAATCTTTAATACTACTTTCAAACTAGTAATAAAAATTTATATTTTATTTTATTGTAATATACGAACTAGCATGGAAATAGCTGGTTAACTCTGCTCTACGTATTTTATTGTTAGTATTGGAAAACACAACGTGACTTATACTATTATTCATCGGAGCTTTAAATTCGGAGCTGAACTAATTTGACCCCATCGGACCTAAATTTAAATACTATTGTGCACTTCCTTCAAGTTCTAAATTATTGGACTTAGGTAGTGATTGGTGACATACAAAAAGCGGTTTTCCCCACTTTTTTATCAAAAACGCAATGACTTTACCAATCATAATTTTTTTTGGAAATTTGCGTTTTTCGAAAAAAAAAAAAAAAAAAAAAATTTGCGGTTTCTCCAACAGATTAAAGGGTGGACCGCATTTCAAGTCTGTACCCAGTGGTTTTTTGAAAAACGCAAACAGATAATGGATAGAAGTAAAAATATGTAATATTTAATTATTAAAAATAGCCTATATATATGTTACATTTTCTATCCAGCTAAACATATCTAAAGATTTTTTTCCTTCCATCCATCGTGACCTACCTCTCTCTTTTTTTTTTTGTTTTTTTTTTTTTTTTTTTTTACAGCATCTTTCCTTTCCTAATATTTCAGGTAATATTGTATTTATTTTATAATTTTTTTATAATCACATCAAAAACCATGGACGTGAATGTAAATGTGAAATATTTTTTCATAATTTTTTTCCAATAATATTAGCTTACTTATAACCTATTATAATAATAATTTTTAAACTTCATGAAACTAAAAATAGACTAATATTACATGTTTTTACTTAAAAATGTTTCAATACTTATAAATATAGTATTGTCTTTGTTAAATATATATCGAACAACAAGTAAATATATATATATATATATATTTAAAATTTTTACTAAAAAAATAAAATACTTATATCTAATTTATTTATAAAATTGCAGAGTAATCGTTGGATTTATTTAATGTAGATATGTCTTCCAGCCGAACAGGTTCAACTCATCCAATCGAAATTTCAACTGCTTCCACTGAAACAACAATACAGATCCAAGATGATTACGATGAATTTAAAAAGGCGGAAGAGATATTCATTGCGCTAGACCTTCCTAAATATACTAGATTTTACTGGACATGCATAAGTACACTTAAGGAGCAAGCATTATGGCGTAAGTATTTCATTGACATAGCTGAAAGCACCGATGAAAATAAGCTACAACTGCTAGAAACTATAACTGGTGTTTTACGGAATAACGAATATATGCGAGAACAATTAGGTTCAAACCAATAATAGTATTTTTTTATAGTGTTGTGCTTTTTATGATTAAAATTTTTAGCAATAATTATGCCAAATTATTTTTTATTGATCATCAATATTTAAAGTTCACAAATATATGAAAATGTTTCTTTGTTACCAAAAAAACACTAATAATATTAGTATATTTATTTCTAACATATTTATCTATAATCGGTAATGCGTACCGCTTGTTACTTTTTTTATCATTCAAACATTTTATTGTGTACCGCAAATAGTTTTTTCACCAATCAAACATTATTCCGTACCGTTTATTTTGTACAAACCGCACTTGTCCCGCAAATACTTTTCTCCCGCACGTACCGCAGTTGAACCGTACCGCACTATAATACTGCTTTTCCCGTACAGCAAAAAACGCTATTACCATTCGGATCCATAATCCTAGAGTGCAAGTTGTATTAAGTTACATTAAAAAATGAATGGTATAAAAGATACTGCTCACTGCTGCCGGATCACGTCAAAGAAAAAAAGATACTGCTGCCGGATCAACTTACATTGTGGGTACATATAATATATAAATGTTTGCAGGGGATGGTCAGTAATATGGGCCAAAAAGATTGAATTTCCCGAGTGAAATTTGCAAAAATCACGTGTTCTTGAAACATTGAATATGATATATTTTTCTAAACGAAACGAAATAACATATGATAAGGTTCTACATAACAAATGACAAAATTCATAAAAATACACAGACTATTAGTTACTTATTTCCACAAAAAATGACATGATACTTTTGACAATTTTTAAAAGTTATGTAGGAACTAAAAACGTGTCCATATTAAAGAAAATATGTTCATATGAAAAGTTTTCACTCTAAGTCTCACCTAAAGGTGTAAACCTAGTTCTTGTCTTCAAAATGAAAACGGAGATAGATAAGGAAAAGAGAAAAGAAGTACATAGCAAAGGCCAATACACACATCCAGAACGGGTAAGTCGATCTCTTATAGACCGGTAAGCCGATTATGAGGCCAACGATCACCATAATAAGAGCTTCTACCGAGTATTTCCATGTCAAGCCTCTTGTATATACAATTGCCAATATGATCGACATTCCCATGAGGTTGTTCATTGTAACATCTTTGTAGATCTGTGGAAACCAATACAAATGCCCTTAAACTTTGAGTCATCTTAAAGTGTTAGCCAGGTAATGAATTGTGATAGTTAAACTAACCTCGGAGAAAGTATTGGATGAGATTCTTTTCTTGTCTTTGCCTCGACAGAAGCGTGTAGATAGAGTGTTCTTTAAGTTTCTAGCGAAAGGGACCATCGCGAACACGATGTAGATAGAAGGAATTCCAGCTGAGGTGGATAAGAGCTGGATGTTCATCATAAATGGTTTTGCTAGAAAGAGGACAATTAGGATCCCTGCGATGACTTCAATCGCCGCTACTAACGTATCCATAGATAGCAATTTATTAACAAGCGTTTTCTTCGGTATTTCCATCTTAAGAACTCCATGTTCCTCCTGCAACACATTACGATTTCAAAACCAATATAATGCGCGCTGTTTTTGAAACTAGAGAAATATTCAAAAATGATGTTTCTCTTCAAATGGATATATACTTACAGTGTGATTCTCTCTTTGATCCTCTACGTTGAATTTGTATTGTTTGAGTAGTCTCGCAATCCCTTCTTCGAATTCATTCTCTTCTAATTCGCCGTCTTTGTCTCCATCGAAATCCTCAAGAAAAGCTTTAGCAAGCTCATTGATGTCATATTTCATTCTCCCAAAGTTCGAAAACTCTATGGTTAAGTCTTTTAGTTCAGATATTTGTATCTTGCCATCTTTGCTCTTATCAGTTTTCTTGAACAAACTACCGATTTAAGAAATGATTTACGACGTAAGAAAGTTGAAATGAAACTATTATTGCTTCAAAAATATAGAGAGAACAGAACTAAAAGTCTTACACAACCTTTTCAAACTCTCTTTGCTTAGTTCTCCACGTTTTATAAGGTTTTTTGTTGAAAACCTCTTCAAGTGCTTATGAACTTCTGACATGAGCTCAAACCTCGCGTGATCTAAGCTCTTCTCTTGGTTAGCCGTATCTAAATACTGAAAATTTCCACAAATTGTGTCTATTTTTGTGAATTTTAAAAGTGTCATTTAGAGAACAAAGCAAAAAAGCAAAAGGATTTACTTAGGTTTTCTAAAGGGATCGGATCATACCGAGTGAACAAAGTAGACAACGGTTGAAGAAGAAGAAATTATCAGTGTAATCAACACAATGATGTGACTCCAAGAATGTGAATCAAATATCGCCGATAACGTCACCATGAGAAAGGGAGCTAGACTCAGCAGCATAATCCCTGCAGCTTTTTTGTTCTTAGGATCCGCTTCTACTCTTGCTTCTGCAGAAAGATAAAAGCACAAAATCTTCATACAAAAAAAATGCTCAAAGATAAGAAAAAGGGAACCTAAGCTTACCAATAAAGCCTTTCAATATCCTTAGTCTTTCCATCAATCCATCCTGTATGATTTTTCGATAAAACATTCAGCAACCAATCATGAATATAGTTTTACTAATAGATTAAGGAAATCTTACAGTGGTTGTTCTTCTTACTGACTGGTCAGAACGTGGACTAGTGATGCTAAAAACAACACAAGCTCCCCATTGAATTGTGAGAGAAAACACAGTGTGTCCCACAGTAACTCCAACGTTTTCATCTATGAAGGAGCTAGCAACATCTCTGCTCAATGATAGTCCGGTCGCTGAGATCAAGGAATATATGTTTTCAGATATTTTCTTAGAGGGAACAAAAGAAAGAGAGGAATATTCTTACAGAGCATAAGAGCAATTCTTGGGAACATTGTAAGAAGAGGGAAGATGATACCGCCATAGAACCCGACCTCGAATATTATAAAGAGTTTTGATCTTCCTTCAGACAAGAAATAGTCACCGATGATCAAGAGACATCCAAAGGAGAAAACTTGGAAGATATAACCTTCAACATTGTCTGCACATGGAAGAAACCCGTAGACATGAACACACGCGGTCCTTGACAAGCTTTTTGGAGGATCGAGAGTGAGAAATTCGTGATTCAAGGCATCATGAACCCCATCAGATATCAAAATCGAGTAATTCAGAGGGACAGGACTCAGGACACGAGAGCTCACACCAGAGATAATCAGAGCTATAGAGAGAAGGGAGAAGAAAAGAGTAACACCTGCCATGGAAGTAAGATCGAAGATCTAATGGAGATTGGTCGGATAATTTTCCTCTGTATCGTACAAGATCTTAAATATACAATAAACATAGAGTTTTTAAGGTTAATTGTAGTACGATGAACACTGATAGGATTATGTTTTAGTGACTAATGACTTTTTTTGATAAAGCGTATTAACCAATTATTAAGATGATAAATGGTACGTTTTTAAAAACATATTCCTTTATAATCTATATATGTATCTAAGAGCTTTGACCAGGACAAGACAGTGTGTTTGTAACCAAGAGACACCATAATGGAGACTTGGAGAGTCATTGCTAACTCTAAAGCGTGCCATGGAAGTAATCTTGGGATAAAGGAGGCATGCAATGGATCTCTCGTCTTATGTAGCTATGGGCGAGAAAGATTATATAATTAAGGTCATTGATACTTTTGATTAGATGAGGAAAAAAAGAAAGTACAAGAGACTCTAATTCAAATTCCTCCATCCATCGTGAACAGAGAAAAACACACATGATCTATTCTGATATGAGAAGAGAAGTCTCCAAACTCTACTAAGTACCAAAACCAAAAAACAGAAAACACAGTCATGGGATCCTCTCATGGAAACTTATTATTACCAGTGACCTCTTCCTTGTCCTCTTCCTCGACCACCTCCACGTCTTCCCCAACCTCGGTTTCCGCCTCTACCAGCACCGTATGATGATATTCCTTCAAAGGCCTTGTTCACAAGCTGGCTTTGCATAGCACCCGAACTACGTCCCTTCTTTGCTGCAACATTGTTACCACTTCCATTGTTGCTATTAGCAGGCCGCTTTCCTCTGTAGATTATTGCAAAGGTAAAACAAATCACAATTAGATATGAGACCACAGAAAGATGGCGGATTTACTAAACTTTGCACAAACCCGATTGTTGTTGTTGTTGTTGAGGCTAACGGCTTTGTGGCTTCTTTCCAAGACAGGTTGAGATTAGTGTCTCCGATAAAAGGTGGCACTTTTGCATGCAATGGCTGTTTCATATCATAATTTACCCCAAGTTTAGTTTATTTCATCATAACCATATGCTTCCACCAAAAAGACAAAAAAGGGGAAAGACAAGATTCTGTGATGTTCACCTTTGTCATCGCCAATATGTTATTACATGTCCTAAGTCCAGTTGTAGTATTCTGCCTTTTTGTTTTCTGAAATAATAAAAATCACAAAGGTGTATTAGTCCTGAAAGCAAATAGCACCGGGATAAAAGAAGAGAGTTGCAGGATAATGTACTTACAATGCTCGCTTTCTCTTCATCTGTCTTAGCAGCCGACATGGCTTTGTTGTGCTCAGTCATTCCCTGAGTTAATTTCTTCATCGTTGCCTTAGTTAGATCCTCAACGATGGTTAATCTGCACCAATGGTTGGCAACAAATCACAAAAACAAAAACTTTATGATATCATAAAAAAAAATACCAAGTACTCTCCTACCTCTTCTTGATCTAAGATCACCAAAGTTTTTCTACTCTAAATGACAGTATATTGAAGTTTCTACGTGCAAAAATTTGAATGTCATATCATAGAATTAACAATACCTTTCAGTGAAGTCTTTGTTCAACTCTGAGAAGTCCTCCCCTAATCTGTCTGATGGCTGGCCGGTCACAATCTTGTACCCACACAAGCTGTTTGTAGCATTTGGAACCTATATATGTTCAACATAATCAGATAAGTAAAACAAGGAATAAATAAAAGAGAACGGGATTAATCACAAAATAAGATCTCGTTGGCAACCTTGTGGGCAAGGTGATGAAACGCATACAACAAACACTCAACGTATGTGAAGTTCATTTCCTCTCCAGTCTTTCTGGCAGGCATGTATACCTAAAAATAAAGAGTGTAACAATCTTTATAAGACCGCATGTAAAGCTTTTGCATTCATAAGTGTAAGGCTGCAGTAAGATATATACAATATAAGCAAGGATGTCCACAAACTATTTTTCAAAGGACTCATGACATGCTCGCACTTAAAAGAGCTACCTTTAAAAGCTGAACGATGGAAGGAAGCAGCTGCCTTGCTTCCTGAGCAGTTGTGTATGGAGAAATATCAGCAAGAGCTTTGAGCAAATCAAGTTTCCTTTCCTCCGGGAGCTAGTTAAGAAAAAAAGTTGGCAATTATTATAGTGACCAAGGAAGCTCATCTTTTGGAGTGATACGGATATTTACATGCAAGAAGGTAAAAGAGACAAGCAAAAACACCTACAAATATGGATTAAATAAACGTTACAAGAAATTGCATTTTACTTCATACCATTAGTGTCAGTGTCATAAACTATTCTTAATTATATGTCTAAGAGAGTAGATAACAGATGCCTAAAAGAGCACACAGGGATTGATGATACGAAATAAAAGTAGGAAGTAACAAAGCAATGAAAATCACGATACCTTGTCAAAAACAGGTATGATATGTTTGTTCAAATAGTTAAGAAACCTGCTGCTTGGAGCACCTCTCTGTTCAGAGGAGCGCGAAGTTAGTTAGATAACCAGAAAAGTTTAGAGAATGGGATACTATCCAGCTAATACACTTAATCTGAGTTCATACCGCAAAAAAGGGAAGAGCCAGTTGCAGGCATGATATCAACCTGTCAATATGGTCTGTGTCTGAAAACTGGGAAAAACAATATTTATTATCAGGAGTAATACCACAGTACATGGATAATCTTATATAAATTTGGCTGTCCAACCTTATACTTCAAACTATATTATACTCCCCATTTAGGAAACTGGAGAATCTAAGATCGAGTGTTTACTAATCAGAGCAGACACAATCAAGTTTGTATAACTCATAATGGGCATACTATCATTTTAACAACTTTGTGCATTTCCTTGCATTCAAACCAGGAGCAGAGAATATAAAGGAGTTCAAGGAAAATTATCATCACTCAAGAGAAACAATGCAAATGGTGATACATCTTTTAAAGCTTTTTGTCAACAGGATGGAGTTTGTACAAGGATGAACATACACTACTGCCACAGAACATGTCACACTAAAAAGAACATCACTACACAGCGGGATAAATAGTAGGATCATTTCAAGCAATCAAGAAATTTAGGTTCATCTTCGAGATGATGCAACACAACCAACTAATACCAAATTGCATGATGCAGTACAACTAACTTACTTCAAATTGTGCATTTAAATCCGCCTGTCCTTCAATAATTTCCACAAGTTCTTGCATTCTTTCTTGAGGAGCTTTGCCTCCAAATATACTCAAACTTGTCAGGAAATCCATAAACATTTTAAACTCTCCTCCAGTTACATCTTCTAGGCTCTGCGAAAACTCCAAATAAAGTCAGAATAAATGGCAACGAAGAAGAAGGCAAATGGAAGTAACAAAAGGAACTACACAAACACACACACAGAAAATGATCTTACCTGTTTGATCAAATCTGTTATATGTCTTTCCATCTCTTCTTGAGGCTTTAAGAGTTCCCCTTTAAGAGGAATCACCTACATATAAGAAAAATATATATACAATAAATATTGGCTTAATGTATTACAAACCTCTCAAATGATTGTCATTTCTAATACTATCAAGCCCATCAAAGCTACTTGAACCCTTTAACTTATTATATTTATTTATTGTGGTAATATATATCCATACCATTATCACATTTTCATATCACTTCCTCTGTTATTGTTAAGGAAACTTCTTTCAATCATAAACAATGTCAAGAAGGAGGAGACTTGACTAAACATGCACTTGATATCAGCCACTTTAGTTGATTGAGTAGAGTTTGTACATCTTGAAACTGAACTAAGATATAGTAATACACAATGCAAGTCTACTTTACTGGTCTAAATCTACAAGAGAAAAATCCCAATAGGTCTAACTTAGTGGAAAAAATAAGATATGAATATCAATAGATTAAGTCATGCAACGCTGTTCTGGGAACCTTGCAAATAGCAAAAAGAAATACATAAACTCTGACCTTATCTCTGATGAAATTCAAGACCTTTTCACGAATTTGATCATCAGTAGTTGGAGTAACCCCAGCATGTGTAAATAAGGCAGTCGAAGATGCTGTAACAAAAGAGAGTAATAATTAGCAAAACACTAGGGAATTGCAGAGTCAAACGTGATATCATATTGAAAACCTAAGAAAAATTTATCAGACTAAAACCCATAGCAAGTAATTTATTAACCTATGCCTGATCATAATCAACCGAGTACATTTTGTAAGCAGAATCAGTATCTTCATACAGAACAAGTGTAAAGAAATTAAACTACCTTTTGGATCTTGTCGTAACAATGACATCAGAGCCTTATGCACAGCATCACGCTCCACAGGTTCCTCTTCATATCATGATACATCCAAGTCAGATAAGAAGACACAAATAGGTCTCCAAAAGGTGTAGTAACAAAGATATCAAGAGTTACCAGTATTCAAGAGTTGAACAAGAACATCAACAATCTTAGATATAATATCTGGCGTATCCTTACAGAACAGCGGGAGTCCACGGATGGCTTGAACACGTACCTAAACACAAAAAGAAACACATGTTTAACTCAAACCAAATGATAGTTTCACAGTAAACAAAACTGCAAATTGTGCATATACAAGTATCAATTCTCTGAAAAGTCAGAAGTACTTTTAACAAGAACTATATTTTTAGTGTAATCCAGTAAGAAGCTAGCTTTGAAATGGTTTAAGGATAAATTTGCATCTGTACGGAGACAAGGTAAACATACCCCAAGATCTCCATCATCGATGCAGTCCATATGAGCATCGAAAGCGTCAGTAGAGAGACTAGGGAAGAACTTGAAGTATCGAGGAATTAGCTGCGACGCAAGCTGCTTTGCCTTCATACTAGTCTTGGACATCTTAATAATCCCCTCATAATCCTCAACATTCTACAAACGAGAAAGCAAAATCAGGTTAAGTCATTGGAACAAACTAGACCAGCCTAATTCGAATCCGGAGATGAAACAGCGAACGCTCGATTTCAAATCAAACCCTAGTTGAAAAAATTGAGACGAACCTGAGACTTGTCCTTGGAGGCATTGAGACGCTCACTGAACTCATAGAGCTTCTCGATTTGCTGGACTTCTTCAGACTGGTTCTCTGACATTACGAAGGAAGCTGAAGAAGAGCGAGAAAAAAAAAACGAAGCAGATGAGTATATCTATACACATAGTTCAATAGCGGAAAAGAGAAGCTATACATATGTAATCACGTCTCTGTAACACAGGAAAAAAGGCGGGAGAAAGATGAAGAAGAAGAGCGTACATGGTGGGTTTCTGGAAGAAGACTGTAGAAAGATTGAGATAGTTTCCGAGTGTTTTTTGTTTTCTCACGACCTTCCTTAGCTTGAAGAAGAAGACCGAGCTTTAACTTCATGTCCTTGATATTGGGCTAATCTTACAAAACGATGACGTTTTTAATATTGTGAAACTTGAGAAACGTCACTAGAATTTATCGTTTCTTTCAAATTCACCCCAGATGTTTGCTTTGGAGCAAATACCTCTTCGAATTCTTCACCTGAATGACATCCGTTATCGATTTGGAAAGGAATTTAATGGCTACTTTTACTCAAAATCGTTTCTTTAAGAGCAAAAATACAGTATCCCAACCAAAACTAATTTGGTCATGAAATAGTCTTATTACCTACCATACAGAATCAAATCTAATACAAAGTGTTGTTGTCTCAATAACTCAAAAATCAGACAAGTTTTTCTCCTGATTTAGCAAAAATCACAGAACAGGCATATCCAGAGCTTGTAACACATCCTTGAACTCAAAGTCATGAGTATGCTTATTGAACCTCTCGAGCAGCTTGTACCGAGAGTCATTCAAGTAAAAAGACTGAGCTGTCTCCATGATCCATTTCGCCTCTTCGTCAGTGAGTTTACTTGTGAACACAACATCTCCTCGGATAAACACCAAGTCCTTTGTCTCTGAAAGCTCAGTGTAGAAGGTTGTAGTCAGGTAAGGAGCCGCTTGAGTTCCTCTTGCTTTGTAGTCTTCGAGACCAGTAAAAATCATGTGGGGCGCTTCAACTGCCACAATAAAACTGACCATTTATATAAGATCATAATGAACTCTTTGTTTTCCTACGAATTCACATAATTGTAATGAAGTTCAACAAAGATTAAATGGTACATCTAGCAAGATTTAGCCTCACATACCAACATACCAGGCAAACAAACTGTTCTTGAGATTAGTAGTTTGCTAATTTTTGTTCTGACTAATTAGTGCAAGTAAAAGAATATCCATTGCTAATGAATCTCACTAATTTAACTGAACTAAAAGCTACCACAAACCTCATTGTTATGTAACCATTTCATATAAATTTCTCGCAGAAAATGAAAAGATGTATTATAATGGAGGATCAAAAAGTTTGAACCTTGAGCAAACATTGTGATGTAACCATTTCCTCTCCACAATGGAATGACAAAGTATCGGCTGCAATTGCAACATCAATTAGAAATGAAAATTTTAACAAAGCAAGAACAAAGGCTAATGATGTTATTAATTATTACCACTCGGAGGCTCGTTGCTCCAACAATCGATAAAGCTGAGCTTTCATCGTTATCCCAATATGACCTCGTCCCAAGTGATACTGATAAATTGAAAATGTAGTAAGATCCAACGAAATGCAATTGAAAGACAGAAAATGTCACATAAAAAAGAGGAATTTTGAGATTACATCGTCCCAGATCGAAGTGAGTTCTTCCGGAGATTTAGTCTTGGCTCTGGCCAAATCCATGATTGAATCCAAAGGTTTTGGCTGCAACGGTGTAAACCCAGATGCGAATCTCGAATTTCTGACTGAACCAAGCGAAGCCCATTTTATGTGGTTTCCAGGTAAACCTTCGGAGAGCTTACTTGAGACATCTCGTTGCAAAGAAGATGAACACGCAGTGAAAATTTGTCTGGACGAAGACGAAGAAGAAGATGATGAAGAGAACTTATTTTTAGCGAGACTCGAAATAGAACCGACGACGATTCTTCTCATTTTCATGGTAGGAATACGGTGAAATTCAAAGAAATATTATCAAGATAAGCACAGTTCTCACTTCTCAGGTAACCTCAGAGGAATTTTGTCGAACACGTTGTGTTCTAATTAGATCTAAACCCACAAAGTCAAAAAAGTCCACTGTTTGGATTTTGGAATCTCAATTACTCGTTCTTATGTTTTAGAACCCTAACCGGAAACGTCGTCGGTTAACTTAATTCGACCGGCCGGACCAGATAATAGTAATTTCGCTTTTATCTGAAACAAAATAATGGGCCTGGTCCAGAGTCCAGAGTCGAGATATCCGGATTACTCTCTTTCAAACAAAACCAATGGATTAGAGGTTGAATTTGACAAAGTTGTATCATATATATATATAGTAGATTCAGAGGTAATCACGGGAATTAAGTATTTACATATTTATTTTTATTCTATCACATTTCAAGTTTAACATAGCAAATTACAGGTACACATTATTGATCCTTTTAGAAAATGAGTAATAGTCACAGGAACACATTATTACGCATTCTACTCGAAAGATTCTATAAAGGTTTTTTTTTTTTTATATTGTCGGCAATAGATCTTTAAAGTTAATAAGACATGATTGCTTCCACAATCCACATACACAGAAAAAATTAGATCTTAACCCATGTTTCACAAATTTCCTGTCACTCTTTGTTCTTTTCTTACAATAAATAACTATAAACCAACTTGTTTGTCACTTATATGAGCATTGACTTAGGTTGTTTTTTGTCATTATTTTGAACAGTACCAAAAACTGTAAACTATTTATTAGTTTGTCCAGACGCACAGTATCTCACAACCCCACCATGCATGTCCTATCTCTTTCTTTATCCTCAATATTCTTGTATCTCTTCCTCACATCAACCATTCCCATTTCTCCGGCCAAACTAACAATCTCTCACCCCCCGGCACTAAGGCGCCTCCACCACAGAGAGCTCTCCGGCGATTACTACTCCAAGAAATGTCCTCAGCTCGAAAATCTCGTCGGTTCCGTCACTTCTCAGCGGTTCAAAGAAGCCCCCATCTCAGCTCCAGCCACCATTCGCCTCTTCTTTCACGACTGCTTCGTTGAGGTTTAATTCTACCAAAATTTTACATTAGTTTTCTTACTCCAGCGCACTATAGCATTTACCATAAACAACAACACGCATTTTAGCATTAGTAACTAGCATGGTCAAATTTTAACGCACCATCTCATTATATCGCGAAAGTCAAAACACCAATATGGAAATAATCCCGACAAAAATTTCACTGGTTCAGTTTCCAACGTAGCGTAGTTTAGCAAACTACAGTCAAGATTCGGTGCATTTTAGCGAAAAAAATACTCAAACAGCATTTTGGCCTGCATCGTTGTTTGTTTAACAAATAACAGTAGACATCTCATGCATGAAAAACTAATAAATTATGGACTACGATGTTTGATAATCAACATAAGGTGAAATTGGAATTTTGAAGGGTTGTGATGGGTCGATATTGATAGAAACAAAGAAAGGAAGCAAGAAATTAGCAGAAAGAGAAGCATATGCGAATAAGGAATTGAGAGAAGAAGGATTCGAGAGTATTATTAAGGCAAAGGAATTGGTCGAATCTCATTGCCCTTCTCTCGTCTCTTGCTCTGATATTCTCGCTATCGCCGCTAGAGATTTCATCCACCTGGTAATCCCAACTTCAATCCTATTTCTAAGTTCTATTCATATGATTCGTTACTAAACCGATTTTGATGGGTCTAGAACCGGTTCAAACGTAGCCATGTTTCAACAAAACGGAAATTTCTTTTCAAGAAAGGGTTGGGACTTCACAATATGTGATACTGTCCAAACCGGTCTTGGATATCTACATATACATTTTTACAGGGGATTTTTGCAAAAAGTCTTTTGGATCCGGGTTTTATCCGGGATTAACTCTATCCGGATCTTGGATAAGGAATTTTAGGAATGTTGTCTTAAAACCACATTAATTCTTAATTAACACCTAAATTGGAAATATATATAATATATCTAAACTAACCATATTTGTTATTTACCTTAACTACTTCTAACCATAATTATTTAACTATTTATTTCTATATAGAAAGAATATGTGATTAAAATAAATATTTTGTAAAATATTTATTTGGGAAAAAATTGTTCATACGAAAATAATTTATTTTGTTATAAAAATTAATATTTGTTATTTGTAATTAAATTACATAAATAATAATAATAATTTGTCTACACCATCAAATAAAAATAGTTAGTTATTTAATTTTTTATTTAATATTACGTAATTTTTAAAAAATAAATTCAACAATATAATGTCAATGGGTTTAATTCTAAAGATTTGAAAATATTAAAAAATATACTAACCAAAAATTATCTATCCTAATTTGTTTCTAACAATTTGGACACAAATCTTTCAAATCTTTCAAAAATTTAATGTGATCACATTTGTTACTAAAATCTCGATTATATTCCTAAAAATCTCGAGAAGATCTTCATTTAAATCTGCAAATTATAATTTATGAATTAAATAAACTAACAATACGAATAATCCTAATATATTCGAGTACCATAACGAAATTAATTCTTTAATTAGACATATATTTTCGAAATTATCTTAAATGCTTATCATTCCAAAAATTAAATTGATTTCGAATATTTTCACAATCTAAATTAATTACTATAACATACTTTATCTCAACTATTGTTCCTAAAATATTGCTTAAATCTCGATTTTAAAGAAACTAATTACTCTATATATATTTCGAAATAATTAGATTTGGATCCTTTCTTTATTTGAACGGTTTATCAAAATTATATTCCTATAATAGATTGTAAAACATTAATGCACTATTACGAGAATATGAATTTAAAGGAAAATCTTTGATATTAATACTCCTAATAAATAGCCTATTTTAATTGCAAAAATCTTTCATATTAATGCTCTGAATAAATATGCAGATTTTAACCGTATATAATAATTGCAATTCACATTTCTTGCCTAAATAAAATGAACTATATTAATTCCGTATTCAATCCACCTAAAAGATTTAGGAAATTTTCTCATGATAAACGATATTTAAAGATATTATCCTAAAATGGTTAGGAATATATGTAGCATATTCTAGATTTGTGATAATTTAAAGATTTTCGAATATATCAACGCCTTACTAATCAAGATTTTGGATATTCTCTAACACAAAACCCTACTAACCTATCATAACTCTATAAATACTTGATTGTTTCTACTACTTCTGAACACACAAAACACCAGTTGCATTCTTTAACTTTCCAATTTCTAATCTTAATGTGTTGTTTGATTTAATTTCTTGAAATTGGATTCGATTAAACTTTGAATTTTTGTTTATACGTTTAGAAATAAATCTATTTTGAATTTTCTACGTCAATCATTTTATGAAATTTGAGGAAAAAGATACAATTCTTTTTTTATATTCATCAATTCTTTTGTTCATATACATCGCTAGAGTCTTTGGATATTATTAACTTTTTTTTTGTTCGTGTGCAGATTCTTTGTGGTCGATCATGTTGGTGATGAGTTACGACTACTCTCAATGCTAGATGCTTTGGTAACAAGTTAATTTCTATATAATATGGATTTTCCACTTACAGATTTGGAATGTCAGATTTTGTGAGTTGAAAAACTATTTATGTTTCAAAGTGTATATCTAAGCTATACAAAAGAAGTATATTTGACATCTTTTTCTCTTTTTATATTTGAGACTGTAGCCATTAAGAGTATAAAATATCTGCAAAAGATGAAGACCAACATAGAGACACCAATTTGTATCAAAAACAGGCAATTACTCATTTGACTAACTCTGGTTGTGTTATACGTACGTTTATTATTCTTTCAATTTGCTAACGACCTTATATGTGACTATTTAGTAGAGCTGCTGATTTGTATAGGCAGATTCTTCAGCTAAAGCCATTGCTGGAGTACTTTATTAAAATTTCTGACTCAAAAAATTTATATGTTTTGTTTTATATACGTTTATTATATTTTCACTTTCACTTTGGCTAATGATCTTATGTTTGACTATTTAGTAGAGCTTAGCCTAAGGTGCATTAAGTGAATGCACCATTTTACTAAAAGCAATAGACACAGTGAACAAGGTATCATCCATTTGTTTTCATATATTATACTTGATTTGACAAAATTCATGTTTGTTTTTTTATTGTATTCAAACCAATAATAATCATATTGAGCTTACATTTCTTGGGTGTGAAAGTAGCTTGATTACATAAAAACTCCAAAATCAGAAACGTATAAGAACGGTTGAAGAAGACGAGAAGGTTCTCAAAAGAGATTTTTATTTTATTTTATAATGCAACATTTTCTGTTTTTTCATAGATTTTTCAATTAAAAGTCCAAAGGGTAAAATACAGAAAAGACAAGTGAAGCCTAATTAAGGCCCAATACATAATTACACGTCTTTAACATAAATTAGTTTTCTTTTTTCGAGTTTTTTTTTTTTTTTTTTCTGTTTTCTTAGGTAAAGCATGAGACATTATTTGACTATTTTTTATACAATTAGAGTAATTTAATTTGTCTTTCGAAATTTTGTCTTTTTGGTTTATTTTAACACATTTATAACACACATATATAACACTATATAGC